GTTCAAAAACATATCTTTATTCTCTGTTCATCATTCTGGTTTATCCAAGGCCAAAGATCCAGAGATGTCTATCTGAAGGGCTTGTGTCTAAAAAAAAACTTAACCATGAAATGTTTAATATGTTTATGACATTCAGCCTTTAAACATTTGCACTTAGAATTTTATAGAATCACTTTAAATACTTTTCAGTAAGTTAAATGTCTACAATTCTGGTTCAAATAAAGAACTTTATGTTTACTAGATTGTTACTAATTATTTTGAGTTAATGTTGCCTTAATGAACAGTGATTTAAAAAATAACCTGTAAAACTCTGATGTTAGGTGATGTGGTTGAAAATTTGGGTGCACCTAACCTTTGTGCTGGTGCACCTAAGAAAAAATGTTAGGCGCACCGGTGCAAAAAGTTAGTCTAGAGCCCTGATCAGTGCTGTGCCTTGTCACTTTGTTAATCTTTGTTGCTTTTACTTATTATTTGGGTTTGGGATTTACCAGCTCCTGTTTTTGGCTCTTAGCTTTAGTTTGGGGATTATAGATTTAGTACAGCAGCATGAGTCCAGTGGCCAACTGCTTGGCTAGTTTAAAGCTGGCTTTCTCTCATTTGTTTTGTCCAGAGCTCCCAACTCGCTTTGGTTTTGTTTATGYTTTTTATTTGTATTAATATTTAGAATGTTGCAATTGTCTGAACTCAAAATTGTATATGTCCTTTGAGCCACAGACTATAAAAATTGAACATTTTCATTCAATATACAAATTGTACATGACACAAAAAATACAACTAACCAGAATTGGTGCAGCAGGAAACCTCGCCACGAGTTATTTACTTTAATGAACAACATGGTTGGGAAAAAAACTACAAGATGGCACTGGTCATGATGTGGGGGCTCCTTGGCAAAAAACGCATTTATTGTGATAATTTGAATTCCCAGCATTCATAAAGCTTGTGAATGCTTAAAGATCATCTTATTTTCAAAGAATAAAATGGAGCTGTCCTTTGTGCACACAACTTCATATTGATCAAGTTGTAAAAAGTGAATGTGCTTTAACCGTACAGTGTCACATTCTGAATTTGTGTACGTCATTCTATCAATTTAGGGTGATGTCATGTTTCAAAAGAAAATCCATCCAAGTCATTGCATGTGGCCAATAAACTTGGGAAGATAGATGTAAATAAAACATGAAGTGGGGAAAGAAAATTGCCTCTTAAGAAGTATTTTATCAACACAAACCTAACCCAAACACAAAAATTAATACTTCTTAGTCAGATAAAATCCTTACCCACCTTTTTTATTCGTATAAAAAATTCATCTTTAATCAAATATTCTTATTACTTTTAAATAGCTTGAGGCAGTTTTATGACTAGAATGRGGGCAGTCTCTTATTTATTTATTTTTTTTTCTACTCTTGTTAAGTTATCCCAGAGCCTAATCAAATCTCTGCTCCGGTACGATTCTCAAGCTCTCCTCCCAACCATATTTACTCTCTTTGGCTCCAATCCTGTGTTGTTTCACTGCTCTGCATTTACTCATCCACATCCGATTTTCATAATCTGATCCAGCGTTTGGCACTAAATGGATATCGTCTAGAGATTTTCCTCAAATTTTAGATTTTATGTCGTAAAAATCAGACGTAGTGATTTCTGTGTGGACTATTTCTGAGTCGGCATGGCCACTTTTTAAACCAAACATTTATTCTGCATCCAAATCTTTTCCTCTGCCTTCCCTTCCCGTCACAGTTCAGCACCTGACCCCTGCGGTCGACCTCGTCCACCTTCTCGCTCGCTGTGCAGCTGAGAGCCGTGACGGGGAGTCTCCATTTGTGCCCTCTGAAGCTCCGTCTTCTCGCTCCTCGTCCGCAGCAGCTCACTGCGCATATCTTCCACCTGGGAATCAGCAGACACATCCAGCTATCTCACAGCACCGAGGTGTCCTTCAGGTTCACAGCCTGCAGTTTCCTGCACAGCTGCGTTTGTAAACCGGTGGTCGAGCACAAACCAACCTGCTGATTGAGGGACTCCCTGCTGTCCTCRGACTGCTCCAGTAATCTCCTGGCCCTTTCTAGCTCCTGCTCAGCCTGAGGGTCACACGACAAACACAATCAGAACAATGGGTGTTGCAGAATCAACGATAAGAACTAAACTAGATTTTAAATGTTCTTATGGAACACAATCGTGGGAAAACAAAAAAGTCCACCCYCTTTACGTTGTAGGGTTTCATTTATCAGGACTTCTGGTATTCACCAAGCTGTGAAATGTTTCTCATTTAAGCTTAAGTGTAACAAAAAAAACACATTTCATTTATTAAACAAAAACAGTCAAAAGATGTGTGTAAAAATCAAAAAGTTTAACTTTGTTTTAAAGTAAAATAGTACCCAGTTCTTGCTGATCAAATGTATTGATTAACTGATCAGGGCCCGTATTTATAAAACTTCTTAGAATTACAATTAAAGGAGACCAATTATGGGTCCTAGAAATTTTTATGATATGTCTGTGGGCTATCCAGACCATGTTCATTCAATTTAATGCACAAAATAATTCTCAGATAATAAAATTTCCCATTTTCTAGTTCTGCCTGCTCTGACMTCCYTTCAGAAGAGCTGTTTATGTTAATGAGCTCTGTTGGTAACGCCCTCCAAAAATCTGTTGACATTAACTCCGCCCTCCAAAGCCAGCGTTTACATTAGCATGGCTAATAATAGCAGAAGCTCCGTTGTACAACCTTATGAGACCCAGAGTCAGAGTCGTGGTCACAGCTTCTTTTTTTCCTCCTCCTCCTCTGCTCTGCGCTCGCTCTGCATGCTGTTACCAGAATAGGGAGCAGCAGTGGTCAAAATACCTCAGAAACTCGAACAAATAGGCTTTAACAAGGCTTTAATAAGCTAAACAATAGAGGTACATGAGAAAACTGTTTATAACGAATGAAAATAAATAATTAAATTGTGTCCATGCCAGTCTCATACCCTGGTCTCCCACTCTCTGGTCCAACACTCTCCCCATTGCCCTATTGAAGGCCTGTTGTGTAATGAGCTACGCATTACACAACAACAACTGTGACGGCTCTTTATACTGAGGAGGTGGAGTCTCACCCGGGGGTTGCTAGGTGAGGGGCTGAACGCAGGTTCCAGTGGGTTGTTGTACGGCTTGTGACATCACAAAATGACGAAGTATAAAACTTGTCGTTAATATACATTAAAAATACATTTACTTACAGTAAATATGCCCCTGGGTGCATTTTTTTTTTTTTTTTGGTGCTAGGACTGTTTTTTTAAGAAGTACATACCCAAAGTTGAGTAAAAAAAAAACTTTAAAAAGTGAATTTTGCATAATAGGTCCCCTTTAAGAATGCTGCTAAGAGTGGACTTAAGTGTAAAAAAAAATTCTTAGTTAAAAGCTGAGAGTAAAAGTCAGCTATCAAGTGTCTCAGTCTTACTTTAAGCGAAGTGTAGGAGTAATTCTTGTCAGTCTTAGAGCTGATTTGCGACACCTGGCTGTGCCYCAAAGCTGCTCCTGGATGACATTAGAAAAAACCCGACACGGACCAATCAGTGCCTCGGATTTCATGTTCAAGAATATTGTCGGAGAAATGTCAAGATGAGACTGTGAAAATGCTAAGATAAGTTCACTTTCAACACACTAATGTTGTCACCTTGTACTCATTGTCTGTAAATTACATAAAATGTCCTCATTTGCATCATGAGAACAGACAAAAATCTCAATTTTTTTAAATCAAAAACTCAGCAGCTTTAAAGTTGTTTTATGTCTCAGAGCCTGAGGTAAGGTTCAGCTGCTCCCTTCTCCTCTTCGCCACTGTCTGCAGACAACACCGGCTTTACACACAGACACACAACCCTGCTCCATCATTACCAGCTTGGTCCGAGAGAAGCGCACCCCCTCCATCATTGTATCACGTGATTGTTAATCTAATAAACGAAACATTCAATCCCACCGTAATTTTAATTTCTTTCTTTCTTTCCTTAGTTTTAGTTAAAAGTTGAGAGTAAAAGTCAGTTTTCAAGCAACGGGGGGGGACCGCATGCACTCACCAGCTGAGTATATTTAATATTTTCTCCAAAACCTACACACAAATATCCYCCTTTTAGTCCAACATTATGCACAGTTTTTTATTTTTTATTTTTTTTAACCTTTGTTTCTTTTGTATATTTCTGATTAAACCTGTTTTCCACCTTGTAACTGAGAATAACACTCAGGTGGGGAGGAGGACAGCTTCTCTGTCTTCAGTTCATCTCAGACCCCTAGTGGCAACTCTTAACCACTCAAGAGTCCTCTGGAGCAGTCTTAACTTTTCTTGAGAGTAAGAGTGATTCTTAGACTGAAGAATTTTAATAACTGGCACTTAGACTTAAGTCTGAGAGTCGGAGCAAATCTCAGACATTTTCAGCACTTAAGTGTAAAAATCCACTCTAAGAAGTTTTATAAATACGGGCCCAGCTCTATAAAAGCAGTTTTGGCTGTTTGCTAACCCAAACTGAGTCACAAAGCAACAAAACAATGCTCCCAACCAGAAAGGCAGCTAATGCAACAGAATGGCTGGGGAGAAATGTAAAATAAAATAAAATCAATGCGGTGCAATGATCCAGCCAAAGTCCAGAACTCAACAAAGTTAAATAATGTGATGAGGTTTTTAGAGAGCTGTGCAGAAGCAAAGGATCTGCAAACTTCAATGAAATGAAGCAACATTGTAAAGAAGAGTGGGACAAAATTAAAGAGTCAAACAAAATGTGACACGTTGCTAATAAGGGTTTTTAAACGCTGCTGGACTTAGTTTTTCACACAGCTTTTCATTTAGGATTCGATTTCATTGAAGAAAACAGTGCTTTGGTAACAACTTGTTTTTAAAATGTGCTTTATGAATAAATTTGATGATGAAATAATGATCTGGTAATAGCATGATCTGGTTAAGAAAAACCACAAAATTAAAAGAAAGTAGACTTTTTTTTCCCAACAACTGTCCAACGTTGCGTTAATCGAAGCACCACAACCAGAAGTAGCTTCATTTAATTAGAAAACAACTGTAAAATAATTATCTTCTTTGCCTTTTCAAATGTTTTTAAGTCTAGATGTAAAAAATACCAGCAGAGGAAAAATAAATTTCGTATTTGTTTGTTTTCACCTTGGATTTGTCCCTCTCGGCTTTYCGTAGCCTGGCTGTCATGGCCTCTTCTCTCTCCTGAGGATGAACCTGGCGTCTCTCAAAATTCTACAAACAACAAACAAGCAGATAAGGACCACAAGATAAGAATACTGTAAGYATGTAAAGCGCTGCTGCCTCGCAGAGTCTCTCCCTCTCCCACCCACCTCCCATCTTCTTTTCTTGGAACAAGATGCTGGCATCACGGTGGATTTGTAGAAGAGCTTAGATCCCACTCAATCCAAAGCATTCTTAGCAGGCCGTGGTGATGAATTAGTGGCTGCTCGCAACAACAACAACTCCAGTGACTCATGTGTTTGATTCACGTCGCAGCGGGCCCATCAGAAGGGAATAAATGTGCCCTCTGCTCTCCCTCCTTTCCTGCTCTTTAGTGCTGTAAGAAATGATTTTCCTCTTCATTTCCTCTCCGTTGTTTATTTACCCTTGATTTTTAGACAAATGCATTATTTCCCATCAGCCCCTTGGCCCTSCTGGTGTCCCACCAGGACACTACGCTGAAGAGGGGATGCAAACGGATCAGGAGCTGCTTTCATTAAACACCAGGTTCAAAACTCTGAACAAAGTTGATCAGGTTGCACACAGCTACACAGCGCCCCCCTGTGGCTCACTGAGAATACTCAGCATGCAGGGGGAAAAGCTAAATGAAAGAACTAATGCTGCGTTTTGAAACATAACAAACATGATGCAGCTAAGTTTAAAAGATTTACACACTAATCTAAATATGGGTCTAAATCTCTAAAGTGAATATAACAAGAAATTTCTCAGTTAAATATGTTTCCAACCAATCACAGTGATTTTCATCAAGTTGTACAGTTGGAGCTATTTGCTGTTTTTCTTATTAATAATTTTCTTTATCCCAATAACGAGCCTGTGGAAAGGAAATGTAATTTGTTGTCAAGATTGCAAACCTTTCTGGTTTAAAAATGTCAACTTAAAACAAAATGTACTGATTTGATGTGATTTTTTTTTAAAGTCTTATCTCTTTCTGTTGTGWTTCTGTAAAACAGAAGCACGACATTACTGTATAACCCTGTGGTCCTCAACATGGAGTCAGAGCCCACTGTGAGCCATAAATCAAGTGTGGGGTGTTGAGCCGATCTCCAGAACTGACAGTAAGTATGTTTTTGGCACTGTTTATCACCATTTCGCCTTTGTTTTTTTTTTGTTTTTCCTCTGTTTGTCTGTTGTGTTTGCAAAATCTCTCATGAACCAACGAGTTAGTGCTGGGCGGTACACCGTTTTGTACCGAAAACCATTTTTTTATTTTTGTAGTGATATGACTTTTTTGAATACCGGTGTGAATAGCCTGAACACGTGCGGAACGTTTCGTCGCGGCCGCCAGTGAACTGTTTCCCTGGGGACACGTTTCTTCATAGTACCGCTAAGCGCATTAGCATGCTAACGTTATTGTTGGAACAACTGGCGGCGGGTGGTGTGTTTCAGACGCTTATATGGTCTGATGTAAAAAAAAACATCCCGTTTTCACCATCGCTGAATAGTAAACAACTCTTCAGTGACGTGCACAGTTAGATTTAATGCACTACGTTATAATGGAGACGTTATTGCATGGAGACTTTAACGTGCTTCTATTGTGAAAATCCCAGGGGGGAAGTAGTTTTGTAGTGTAAGGGAGTTGACTGGTGTGTAAGGTGAGTCGTTTTATTAACACGCAACGATAGACCAGATAATGATTTTTTCTCAACCCTTCATGATCGGACCTAAATGCATGATTACTGTCTACAACCAGTGAAAGAAGAAAAGACGAACAAGAGGAGGGAAACAGTGATACACAGGTACAGTAAAAGAAAAAAGTCAGTAAACAAAGTTTGTAAATTTTATTATCAGCTGACTGGTGGCCATCTTGTATTAGATGATCAAACAGCACAGATTACTTAGTTTTGTTAAACTRGTTGTAGAGCTGGGCGGTATGACCCAAATTTTATATCACGGTATTTTCAACAATTACACCGGTTTCACGGTATTTGACGGTATTTTTTTCTCCTCACAGCTAAACTTAAACTCAAAAATGTGTTAAACTTCTAATTTTACAGCTACTGAGCTAAAATTTGATGTAATAGCAGCTGAAAGTCTCACATACTTTGAACACAACATCTTCCATGGGGGCTGTATTCTGCAAAATCAACATTTTTGAGCTTTATATCATGTTATGATGTCATTCCCTCATGAAAAACCCAGTGTTGCTTCGACTCATTGATGCATGTTTAAGTGGAGATGTTGCTGCACTCGGTGCTCCTACACTTTTGACCATCAAGGTGTTCAATCGTTTGGAGCTCTTTCAAAGTGTCTGATAGAAACGTTGAATCACTAACCGACCGATTAAAGCCAGACAGAAGTACGTCAGAGTTAACAGAGGGCACACGTGCAGTCAGGTCAGTTTTCCATGACCAGAATAACACGCTCAGAATAAGTGTTTACACGCACAACATTCAAATCAACAAGAAACCACCCCTCTCATTCGAATTTCTAATTCATTCCAATGATTCACTTCAGAATTTTCAGATGTGCTGAAGTGGGAGTGTCAGAAACAGAAGGAGGGCAATTGCAAAGCATTTAGATTCATTGTCCAAAATTTGTTTTATAAACACAGCGTTTTCATAACTGAAGGTTCTGGTACAGAATTGAACTATGTGCCTGGAAAAGACATATTTTCGCCTTTTAACTCCGCCCCTTTTTCTACAGAAGATGATTAGTTTAAAACTCTAGTATGAAATGAGGCGACATGCATTCATGCAATGAATGCTAAGTTTTCGATTTGATATTTGGGCCTTTTTTTTTACGATGCCTACTGTTTTGAACTGATGTTATAAAAAAACTGAATTAAACTGATGTGATATTTGGGGGTCACAAATCTCAGCCACAGTGATTTAGTGGGTTTAATGCGAAACAGAACCTGCAACCTGCCAGTACAGAGGATGGCTCTCCAAGTGAAAACTCAAAGTTTGTGTCACCAGTTCTGCATCAAACTAAATGAGTGGTCTTGGATAGTGCAGATCAGTCTTTGCCTTTTTAAAATTTAAATGACAAAAATTTGTCTTAATTACAATAAATGATCTTTTTCTTTTTTTTTTTCTACTAAATCTTCTGCAAGCATAATGGCCAATCAGTCATGAGTGTAAGGCAGCTCAGCAAGAGATGTGAGAAAAACAGTTTAGAAAGTTTTTTTTTGTTTTGTTTTTTTTGTTTTTTTTCTGTTGCACGATTGTAATCAGAAGTATTCAATGGAAAACGCTTGATTAGCAAATTAAAATACATCAGTGGTTGTAATTGCGTAGAAAATTTCTAATCGTTCTAATTACGGTTACTCGCCTCAGAAAGGCAGCTTCTTTGACTTCTTCTTAAGGTGAAATTTCTCAGAAGCGATCGCCAAAGTAATTCAGCTGTCATTTCAAAACGCAATTATCCRTCCATTTTAAACTCCGCAGCAGCGACGGAAGCGGGAATGGCTGCTGAGTTCTTGGAAAATTGAGTATCATTAAACAGTACAAATACCAACAGTCTATAGAAATCACTTTGTCTAAGCCCTTTTTATAATGTCGATCAAAGTGCTGCTGACATTTTTTTATATATAAAAAAAACTGCTTTGATTGTTGTGAGACTGACTAAGCTGGGATTTGCAACCTCACATCAAGGAGGGGTATAAATAAATGAAAAAACATCAAACTAGAAAGACTTCTCTCTCTCTCTGAGCAACAGAATTCATTTCAGTTTTACAGGTAACTGCAGCTTTCTAATGTTAGCTATTTTATGTTCTTTAAACTTGTCTATGTGTGCTTTTAGAAAGCTAAAGGTCCTTGTTTAAAGATCTTTCTCAACTATAAGAAAACACGAGTGTCCATCAGTGTGATGGTAGGGAAGCAACAGAGGAGAGGTTTAAATAAATAAATAAATAAATAAATAAAAGAGGGTCACCTCCTGCAGCTCGTCAGCCACGGCCACCCGCTGCTCCGGCCTTCTTTCTTTCTCCAGCTCCTGCAGACGCCTCTCCACATGAGACGACACCTGCAGACAGAGCAGCAGCAGCAGCAGAAGAAGAAGAAGAATGAGGACGCCTCGGGTCACGCAAACATCACCGACGCCGGGATGTGATTAATGAGACGACGGGAAATTAAGGCGTGGGTGTAAAAAAAATATATATATATCTCCTTCAACTGGCTGGAAGTAATACAATCCCAACGCTACAGCTCCCCGTCTAATCAGGAAGCGGCACATCCACCTGGAACGGACAGTTAATACCTTTTATCTCGCCACGTCCGCAGACAGGACGAGATAACAAATATTAAACATATTGSCTGTCGTTTGGAGCGGCGTATTTGTCACAGTGCTGATAGTGGCACGAGGAGCTATGGGCTTGGAAAGTAAAGTGAAATTTTGGTTAGTCAATTCCAACATTTTGTCTAATCTTCCCAAAGCAAAACTCGTCAAAGTAGAAAATTTCAGATGTCATTGTTTGGTGATATGTCTCAGATATTTAAATGTGGGGTTCTGTAGAAATACTATGAACACTATAGTATATATAATTTTTTTAATCAACCTCAGTTTGGAAAGAAAATGTACATCAACAATGAGTTAATGGAAAAACTTAATTAATTTCAAAAAATTGTAATACAGCTCATGCAAATGCAATTTTACTGCCATTGATTTAGCATTAAACTAGTATTTACATAGAATTATATGGTTATTTGAAAGGATGCACCAATATTAAAATTTCAGCCAATATCGATATCCGGCATAATTACTGGTGTTATGGCCGATAACTGATATTTACTGATATTACACAAACACACAAACTATACTATACATATACAAACACATTTGTATCTTTTTTTGATACCATAAATAAACAACCAGACCTCTGACATGGCTCCCTACTTCAGATATTCCTGGCTGCGCATATATCAGTATTAATATTAGTATCGGTCCGATATGTAAAACTGAGCCCATATTAACGTCCGATATTGATTTCCCACTTTTTATCTTTGTGTTTCTGTTTTGGGAGGGGAGATGGTTGGTTGAGCGGCATCTGTTTGATCATGATAGTGATACCATGCATCCCTACTTATTTGCAACCACAACTATTAGCAGCAGCAGCTAYCTGTAACACTTGTGCAGCCTAACGTCTGTGGGAATATCCACGTTTCTGACAAAATTATTAGGTAATTAAAACAAATGCAGCGTAAAGGTTTATACAGTTGCTTTTGCATGAACTACAAAACTTAAGTTTGTTTTAGGATGACTGAACTGATGAGCTCAGACAAGCTTGTCAAAACAAAAATATGTTTCCCTGCCAGATTAGAGTACCGTAGGTTCAGCTTTAGTGTCAATACACATGTACYACAAAATGCAGTTTGGCATCTAACCAGTAGTGCAGAATATATGGTACTGCATTGCTGCGTTATGAACATGATACACAGATATGTGGTAGGATAGATCATGTATAAATGTGTTATATGCATGATATACAGATTCAAGTGTCATAACTATGCCAGATGGATGGATGTGCACATTTTGATGTATGTAAATTTTATAATCATAATACATAGTAGTAAAAGCTGCCTCTGCCACTTTGGGGTGGCAAAAAACTGTAATACAAAACTGACAAAGATTTAATGCTTTAAACAGCTTTCAAGTAAAACCTCCAGAAATGGTAAAATGGCCTGAACTTATACAGCCTGTTATCAAGTCCAAGGACTTCAAAGTGCATCGTTAACCCGTTCATACTCTGATGGTGGTAAGCTACATTGTAGCCACAGCTGCCCTGGAGAAGACGGACAAAGCGGGGATTCGAACCGGCGACCCCTCCGGTTACAGGATGACCACCTTCCTCCTGTCGCCTCGACAATTTTTTTCAATAATAATTTAAAAAATAAAACTGAAGCTATTTTAAGACAGCAGCAATCTGCTTTGGTCGGTGTTCATTTAAACTAGCCATTAGTCCTGTAAACACTGTTCTTCCAAACTGAGACTGTTCAAAGAGCAATCGACTAGGGCTGGGTTAAAAAAATAAATTTAATCGATCTGGATCTATTCTCGTTCAAATTTGGGAAGATCGATTCATAAGTCACGAGATCGATTTTTTCCCAATGGGTGTTGCGTGCGATGAAGCTGCGCATTTCCGTGTTGTGTGTCACTCCTGGCTTGCCGTAGATTTACATCCAGTTGACGTCAGTGCTAATGTTAGCTCCTGACAACAAGTTATTTAGAGCAAAACAAAAGAAACAAAGGAATCACTAACATTACAGCTGATTCTCAGCTGTAATGTTAATGTTCTCAGCTGTACAGCTGAAGATAACAGAGGCCATGACAACTTTTGTTTGCAAAGTTTTGCGCTTGGATGTGGTAGCAGGAAAAGAAGCTTTGAGCGGCTGGTTCTGATGGTCGGAAACTACGGTAAACATCTGACTGAAACTGTTCTCCTCCTGTATGAATGTGTGAAAGATGGCAGTCTAACAAATCGTTTAGTTTTGTTACCAATGTTATTTATGAATTTTAGAAACATCTTAATGTAATTCACAGTGGTGGAATGTTTTAGCTGAAGTACTTTATTTTCTTTTTTTCTTCTTGTTAATAAGTTTTATTGAACAGAAGCTAACAAAAACATTACAAATATTCAATTTTCATACACTCAAAGGAGTGGGCAGGAGTATAATTATATTAGCCCACCTCTTCTCCTGTAAACTTATTCCATCACTTCTTAGTGATCAAGAAAATTATTCTTAATTTCTTTAAAAAACTAATCCAACAACTKTTTCTCTTGCAATTCCTTTTTAGTTTAAACTCTTTGAAACTTGAGACAGTTTTGTTTCAAGATTAAACTCCAATTTACAAGTTTGCCCTTAATGTTTATAATTTCACCAATGCACCAAGTTAGAATTAGTTTCTACTATTTACAGAATTAGTTCCTTTGAGAATGTCTTACATATCAAAGTAAATGTGTTACTGCTTGATATCCTTAACTTAAAAATCAATCAAACTGAATCGTGAACCGTCCTGAATCATTGTGAATCGTGAATCGAATCGATTCGGGCCCCTGTGAATCYAATCGAATCGATTTGGGAAATTTGAATCGATACCCAGCCCTACAATCGACTGGGAGTGGGAATCTTCAGGCACCTCATGATTTGACTTGCTCTCCTATGTTTGTTATGTTCTGTCTTCTTCTGAATGGGTGTTCTGAACTGTAACTTCATTGCGCTCTGTACAATGACAATAAAGGTCTAATCTAATCAGTCTAATCTGATTACAACTGAAGGGACTGTGATGTGATTATTAAAACAATTACAGATGAATCCATATTCACACTAAACAAAATCCTGAGCAATCCTAAGAAAAAAATTGTTTTCTCTACTCTGCAGCATAAAACTGTTTTTATTCTAACAAGACTCTGTGGTTTTATGTGCTTTTTTCATTACTTTTATAAAGTTTGAAGTCCATGCTGTTCAATCCAGCTCACTGTTTTTTACAGAAGCCCTGTAAAAGCATCACAGCTTTGCCGATCTCAGAGTGTTAAATACTAAATATTACCTTGGCGGAGGTAATATTTAGTATTTAAATTTATTTAATATTCACTATTATGCAAACTCCACCCACAGCAAGACCTCCGCCAATTACGGTTAGGGCAAACTCCGCCCACAGAACAATGTACTGCAGAGACCCCTACTTGATAAAATTTGCAGTGAGCTTTGTGATTCATATCCTCTTTTCAGAGTCAGGAGGAAACTTTAGCTTAGCATGCTCAACGGTTGTCTCGTTAGCAGCAGCGGCTACTATCGGCTGCTTCTTTCTTCTTCTTCCTCCAGGTGGAAACTTATATACAAACATGGCAGTCTGGCTCTTTTTTCTTCTAACCACCAAAAACTACCAAATCAATTTGTGATACTTCAGGAAAAAAAATAGAAGATTATAACCTTTATTCTACAAGATAATTCTTCATAATCTTTTGATAAAACTCCACTTGAAAATATCCTTTTAACTCTACAAAGTTTAGTATAATTCTATATGTTGAGAAAATATCCATCAGTATTTATAGTACGTATGTTGCAGCTGCATCTCTTTCATCCCACATTCAGAAAGCCCATTTGGGATATCGGCTATAACTCACAGCGTCCTGTCTTTGGGAGACTGTCATGTGCTCTGTGAGGTTCTCCATCGCCCGCCTGGTGTCGATATCCAACCTGCYAAACAAAAACATACAAATTCAACCAGCTGACAATTCTCCCTTAGCACAGCTGTCACCCGTTTCCAAAGAACGGCGTTTCTGGACACGTCGTCGATCCACGTGTACGTAAATACATCATCTGACGCCACGAAAACTAATTATTCTGCATCAGATGTTGAAACGTGACGTGGATCAATTTGTTCTAGTCAGCWGCACAAAAAGGCTGGGCGGTTAATAACTTCAAAATGTCAAATTCTAATCAGTGCAGGGAGAAAAGATCAGCAGACGTTCTGTCTGAACCARCTTCTTGAGCTCCCAGTGAGTTTTCTTTTTTTATTTTCTTATCAATTTTCATTTATTGGCAAAGACAACACCAAGCTGAATCATCTGTGTTCTTCGCTGCTCTGGAACCTATGAAGAGACTTTAAAAACACAAGAAGTTGTATTAAAATCACTTAGTGTGGCTTACTAAACCAGCCTGTACTGATTTAATAAAGCCCTCTGCAAACATCCAAATTCTACTTTCTAATTTAATTATGGAGTCATTGCATTTTATTTTAATAAACAGCTTTAAATGCTGATTAGTCTTGCTAATGTGCGAAATGAGTTTTTGAAAAGAGACCGTTTTAATGAGCATTCATTAAAAACTTCAAGACAAACACAAACGAGGTGGCCATTTCAGATCCGAGTCATACAGGCTTTTTAAAATTGTCAAAGAGAAACGAGCGACAGTTTATCTTCAACTAATGACTGAATTATATGTCTTGACGACAGAATAATTTACTCGAGGCTCTTTTTGAGCCGAGCAGTTTCGTGTGTAGCGGCGCGGTGACTGTTCCTGCTGTGAACAAGCTGTTGTGCTGCGTTCACAACCAGCAGGTACCTATTTCTCCTGTGGATTTCTCTATCCAGGTCATCCGAGAGCCTCTGCTGGTCGCAGCGCAGATCCCGCAGGGTTTGGTGCAGCGTGTGAATCTGTGTGAGGACAGCCACAAAGTCACAGTTACTGAAAACAAAACATCACCTGACAAGTCTGTAACCATCCGTCTGAACAGTCTGGGACGGACGTAGCAAATTGTAGTCATGTTGCTGACTCAGTGCGCCCTCTTGTGGCCACTTTATGAAACTACAAAGAGTGAGAAGCGTGATTATTGGTAAATGTCTCACATCCTCATCTGTCTGGCTGTGGTCCTTGAAGTGAACGTTGGCAGACTGAGACCTCCTCCTCCTCCTCCTCGGGGAGCCTGGGTAATCCTTGAGTGGAGATGTAGGATAGAAGTGCTGGCCCTCTGAAATCCCCAAAAGGTATAGTTTTCAGAAAATATGCCGAGCTCGTCAGAGTCAAAACTAAAGGTAAAAAAACTGCAGAAAACAACAAGCACAGCCGACAGCAAAATCCTTTCTACAGCATCTTTTTTTTTCCCCATACCTGATCCTGAGCAGGCTTCCAGGTCGCTGGTGTGTAAGGTAGAAGCGGAGGCGCTGTGAACCCCGTTGGTTTTGCTCAGCCTCTGGGTCTGCAYCTGACTGATTGACTCCTCTAAGTTCTCCTTAAGCTGAAATAAATAAAAACATGATTGAAAAAACAAACTGGGGGCAGAAAGCAAAAACAGAAACTAAACAAACAGACTAAATAATATCAGATCCCTGCAGATAAGAATGTGAGGTGAAGGAAGTGCACCAGAAATTATAAAACTAAGCATTACAGCACTCAGTGATGTGTTATTGCCCACAAAGTGCCAACAGTAGACAGAGAAGGTGTGTGCGTAAAATGGGATTCAGTATCTTTTTAGACACGTGGAGAACTGAGCTTGTAATCTTTTAAATTACAAAATATTCAAAGAACGTCATGCCTTCACTCACAGAGCTGCAACTGTTAAGACTCGGTCGTGAAAAATTGCTGAAAAATTGTGGAAAAAAAAACACATGAACTTGCAGCTGGAGTTGCACTGAAAAGTCTGTTTGCCACCAAGTGCTAAAAACACCAACAGCTTGCATTTTGAGCAGCCAGTTTTTTTTCACAATTACAGCTTGTTTTTGCGGAGCACTGCTTGCAAAAACTGTATTCTTCACTCTGCGTATGGTTTCGTCGCCCTACAGTTTCATCTGCTGGACTTCACTTCATGTAGATGTGCAGATTTGGATTGGCTTTTCGGTAAATATTATATATCATCAGTGGGCTCTGACGTTTTCTGTCGGGGAGAGCTCCTGCACGTGTCAAAATAAAACTCTAGTGCTCAGGTTGCAGCAAAACTTGGATTAGTTGGAGGCACTCCCGACGACACTGGGGTTATTTTGAGAGAAAAATCGTTGCACACATTTTTTTTGAACATGTTCAACATAACATGGCTGCACATTTCTGCTGCTAACAAGAGGAAATTGAACTCTGCAAACATCAATGCAAATTGGAGACATTCTCTTGTCACCTTGTAGCTCAGTGAGACAGTCWTTAACAAAATAAAGGCCTAAAAATAAAGAGCATACTGCATATAAGGGTATCTCAGCTACTACCACACCAAACTTTAGCTCAATAACTGCCTAAGCTAMAGCCATTCTTGACTAAGCTGGATTAGCTGTGGTGACAATCTTGAATTATGTTGACTCCCACAGTAAATCAGATGTAAATGTAAATTCATTGATTATTTTCTCACCACTGCCATGGCTTCAGCCTGGTCGTCTGCATGCTCCCTGTACTGACCCAGCATTCGGTCCACTTTGGACAAGTTCCTACTGGTGTCCTGACACACAGAGAGAAAACAGGTCAACAAATACTGCATTACACATGAAACACAAACAAGCAGGGAAACTTTAGTTCTAGAAGGATCATTTCAAAATTATGTACATGATATAACCTCAGAGGTTGCGCCAGACTTTTTTGTTGTCCATCGTTTTGACTGACAGGGTAAAAAAATATCAATCAAGATCCATTTTTACCCATCCATTTCTTTTTTAAAGGGGACCTATTATGCAAAATTCACTTTTTAAAGGTTTTTTTACTCAACTTTGGGTATGTACTTCTTAAAAAAATAGTCCTAGGACCAACAAAAATGCACCCAGGGGCATATTTACTGTAAGTAAATGTATTTTTAATGTATATTAACGACAAGTTTTATAGTTCCTACATTTTGTGACGTCACAAGCCGTATGACAACCCACCGGAACCTGCATTCAGCCCCTCACCTAGCAACCCCCAGGTAAGGCTCCACCTCCTRAGTATAAAAAGCCYTCAKYGTTGRTGTTGTGTAATGTGCAGCTCATTTCATAACAGTACTCCAATAGGGTAATGGGTAGAGTGTRMGACCAGAGAGTGGGAGACCAGGGTTTGAGACTGGCACGGACACAATTTAATTATTTATTTATTTTCCGTTTTCTCATGTACCTCTATTGTTTAGCTTATTAAAGCCTATTTGTTCAAGTTTCTGAGGTACTGTTCTCCTCCTGTATGAATGTGTGAAAGATGGCAGTCTAACAAATCGTTTAGTTTTGTTACCAATGTTA